AACCGGATGTAAGTCCCAAAAAACTGAATTTTGGAACTGAAATTGAATTGTAGAACTGAAACTGAATGATGAGAAGTGAATCTGAAATTATTCAAGAGCTACATTTTTAAAGGATAAAATACGGTTTCAAAGCAAATGAATTCGTTTTCAAAATATAAAATTCAATTTCAATTAAGTGATGATCATTTTCGAACCAATAAATTGAATTTCAAATTAGGCTAATTCATATTCAGTTTTTAAAAGCATTTATTCAAGTTACAATTCAGAATTCAAATTTAACTTATTCAAAAAGTTTCTGATGGCACAGATTTCTGCCCATACATAATGTGTGATCTATAAATAGCAGCCAGAGGTGTGCAAGAAGAAGACCTTAAAGGTGAGATTGGCCAAATTTTGATCAAGTAATGCTCTTTGTTTTAATCCCACATGATAGGCGGACAAATGGACTTGAATGTTAATCAAGTCATCTAGTGCCCACTTGTATTATTGGTCTAGGTTTAACAATTTATTAGATAATTTCAGCTTAGCACTGACCTTTATTTGACCATTAAAACCAGAAATCACCAGATAGAAAAAAACAGCAACACAAGTTTTTTAATCTTAAACAGGACTTCCACTCTTATCTGATTCACTATCTCACTGAGCCACAGGGAAGTAATAATGAGCTATTAAACAGATAAATGTTACACAAATTTTTCAGTGCCTGTTTAACACTTCTACAACCACTCTGATCATATTCTCTCTCTTACTGCTCCACAGTAGAGCAATAAGCAGTCATCAATGATGAAACAGCACAACACTTTTGTCATCAACTTCATGCTCAAAAGAGAATACCACAACTCATCATCGTGGTTAGCGAGACCATACACTCTAGAAACACATTTCTCAAGACAAAACCTATAGAAATGATCCCTGAAAGTATAGTCTCAGGTTACAGGAGGGTTAAAACTGCATCTCATTCATGGTAGCATCATTCTTACTCACAGTTACTTCAGTGGCTCATCCAAAGATACCAGTGCTTTTCTTCCTTATTTTAAGAAATAGTTAAGAAATGTGCCACTAAAACACATTTACTTATTTATTTGATAGATTTGAGATATTTTTTTTTTAAGTTTATGGTGTGGCAATCAAATTGAGTCATCCTCATGAGTCGTAGTCCTGTCTGACTGAGAATTTTTTTCTGTTCTCATTGCTTAAAATCTAGCTGTTCTCTATCATATTGAGAGTATCTCTCTCCACTCCGTTACATATTCCATATATACGGGGTTGAGAGATAGTCTCTTGCTCAGAGAACCAAGGTTACAGTGTAACCATACGTTACCCCCAACATTTGGTGACTTTTATCTAAAAATTAATTTTCCAGAATGATGTTTGCTTAATCATTTTTTAGAACTCTCACGATTGCATGACACACTATACTAAAACTCATGTAAGTTAAGACTACACTTTCTATAGTTTCTGATTTGAGAAATGTGTTTCTAAAGTGCATGGTCTTGCTAACCACGATGATGACTTGTAATACTTACTTCTAAGCATGAAATAGATACAACATCTAACATTTTATCTAAAAATTTATTTCTCAGAATGAAGTTTGCTTGACCATTTTTTTAAAACACTCATGATTGAACGACACACTATACTAAAAATCATAACAAACAGACAAACAGTAACATTAGACAATGAGACGATTTCTAAAAGATCAACACCCTAAGTGAGAATAATTGTACTGAGAGTGACTTGTTGTTTCCATCTTAAGTTTTGTTAAGACTATACTTTCAGGGATCATTTCTATAGTTTCTGACTTGAGAAATGTGTTTCTAGCGTGTATGGTCTCGCTAACCACGATGATGAGTTGCGATATTCTCTTTTGAGCATGAAGCTGATGACATAGTGTTGTGGTGTTTCATCATTGATGAATGCTTATTGCTCTACTGCAGAGCAGTGATGAAGGGAATATGTTCAGAGTGGTTGTAGAAGAGTTAAAATACAATCACTGAAAAATATTTGTGTAGCATCTATTTACTTATTGGTCAGGCAAATGTGTTTTAGTGGCACATTTCTTAACTATTTCTTAAAATAAGGAAGAAAAGCACTAGTATCTTTGGATGAGCCACTGAAGTAACCATGAGTAAGAATGATGCTACCATGAATGAGATGCAGTTTTAACCCTCCTGTAACCTGAGACTATACTTTCAGGGATCATTTCTATAGGCTTTGCCTTGAGAAACGTGTTTCTAGAGTGTATGGTCTTGCTACCCACGATGATGAGTTGTGATAGTCTCTTTTGAGCATGAAGCTGATGAAGTAGTGCTGTGCTGTACGTGTTCTTTGTCATTGATGACTGCTTATTGCTCTACTGTGGAACAGTAAGAAAGGGAATATGATCAGAGTGGTTATAGAAGTGTTAAACAGGCACTGAAAAATTTGTGTAACATTTATCTGTTTAATAGCTCATTATTACTTTCCTGTGGCTCAGTGAGATAGTGAATCAGATAAGAGTGGAAGTCCTGTGTTGTGTTGCTGGTTTTTTTTCCATCTGGTAATTTCTGGTTTTAAATGGTCAAGTAAAGGTCAGTGCTAAGCTGAAATTAAATCTAATAAATTGTTAACCCTAGACCAATAATACAAGTGGGCACTAGATGACTAGATTAACATGCAAGTCCATTTGTCCGCCTATCATGTGGGATTAAAACAAAGAGCACTACTTGATCAAAGTTTGGCCAATCTCACATTTAAGGTCTTCTTCTTGTACACCTCTGGCTGCTATTTATAGATCACACATTATGCTCCCTTGCACTTGTGTATCTGCAAATCTTGGTTTTTATTTCAACAAGCTATTATCTGAGACCAATAATACAAGTGGCCACTAGATGTCTTGACCTGCTTGAAGAGCTGGTACACTGACAACATTTAGTCCAAGTGTAAGAAATTCTTGTTCAACAGACTCGTTGCTGTTACTCACTAAAAAAAGAAGAACAGTTCATATAGAGACTTTCGACAAGTTTTTTTTTCTGATTTGTTAATACAGCAACTACTCTGCTTACATATGAAGGGGCTTGCATGGGATGGCTGAACCTGTGTTTTCTGTGGTTAAAGGATTGTCTAATAACCACTCAGATCATATTCTCTTCATCAAAGCTCAAAAAAGGAAACATCGCAGCTAATTATAGCAAGTCAATACGCGCTAGAAACACAACCCTTAAATCAAAAACTATAGAAACAATCCCTAAAAGTACAGTCTTAGCTAAGTAATGCCCAGAAAGAGCTAGTGATTCCCAGGACAGTCACTCTCACTAATGGTTTGCCTCAGCTGTCAAAACAGGTCAAACAGTAACATCAGCTCAGATAATGAGAAGTAAATGCAGTTTGAAATTTGGTTCTATGTATGTTGTGTGCTGTTCTATGTAAAATGTGTCCTTTGTCAGCACCTCGAGGTGTGGCGGAGGTTGGCACCCTAGACACTCATAACTCATAACAAACAGACAAACAGTAACATTAGATAATAAGACGATTTCTAAAAGATCAACACCCTGAGTGAGAATAATTGTACTGAGAGTGACTTGTGGTTTCCATCCGCAGTTTTGTTAAGACTATACTTTCAGGGATCATTTCTTTAGTTTTTGACTTGAGGAATGTGTTTGTAGCGTGTATGGTCTCGCTAACCACGATGATGAGCTGTGATATTCCCTTTTGAGCATGAAGCTGATGGAGTAGTGCTGTACTGCACATGTTCTCTGTCATGGATGATTGCTTATTGCTCTACTGTAGAGCAGTGAGAAAGGGAATATGTTCAGAGTGGCTCTAGAATAATTAAAGAATAAAGCAAAAGTGTGTTTTTGTTTGTTTTCTTTTTTTTGGTTTGGTGATTACTTCTACATAGGTAGTTATGTGCTTTGGTCACGATCTAAGACGGTGTGACATTTAATGGTCATGTGAACAACTGCATCTGAAATGTGCGCTATTTATGATTTTGGGTCATTTTCAAATTTTAACTTTCTGGAAAACGATCACAGTAATGGCAGCAACAGATTTTGGATTGAGTAAATGGTATTATATTAAAATACTTTTACCGAGCATCAAGGCTCTCAAAACTGGATTTAAATGTTACGTAATCAACTTTAAAAGCAGCTTTATCTGAGCTAATGTTGCTGTAGTTACGTACAACAGTGATAGTTCATTAACTTCTCATTAACTCAAGACTTTGGCCATGTTTGACAGCTGAGGCAAACTATGAGTGAGAATAGTCCTGGGAATCGCTAGCTCTTTCTGCCCGCCATTTTTCTAAGGCTATACTTTGAAGGATCATTCCTATGGTGTTTTATTTGATGTGTTTGTAGAGTGTATGGTCTTGCAAACCAACATGGTTTGCTATGATATTTCCATTGAAGTATGAAGCTGACAAACAGTCATGATTCTGTCATGTGTTTTTTGTCATTCATGATTGTTCTGTGCTTCTTTACAGAATTGAAGTGAGTATGATCTGAGTTGTTTTAAGAAAGCTGAAGAGGAAAACATTGTGTAATTGTTTTTCCAGACACTTGCCCTTTACTAATACCTGAAAAGTTATATGCGACTTCTGAGTTATTTAAATAAGACAGGCATTGAATTTATATTTTTGCAGAAACTTTTAGCCTTCAAAGTCTAAAATGCTTTACATGTTCTGCTGGGCTTTTGTTGAAAGTGTGTTGAATTTCTGTACTGTTTGTTTGGAAATGCCTCTGAGGGACAGAAAAAGGCAATTAGAAAGACAGTAATGATAGCAAGTAAGTTGCTGGGAATTGCATTACCAAGCCTAGAAAGCATTTACAGGGACTGTGTATGAAGTAAAGAAAAATAATATTGTGAGTGAACCATCCACTTGTCTCTTTTAAACTGATGCCATCTCCATGGTTTTATCATCCCCTTTTGTTGACAAAACAAAAACAAAAACAGGTCCAAATTATCTTTTACTCCTATCAAATTTTTGAACACGAACAACATAAATGTTTCCAAATTGGTGTTGCCAAAAAATATTTTTATCAGTAGATTGATCTTGCTTTTGTGAAAGTTATAGTTCAATGTAGTTTTGATGAAGGGAATATGGTCTGAGTGGTCATAGAAAGGATTTAAAGATAAAAATAGTTTCAAGTGTTTAAAGCTCCGGTTTTTATCACAAGGGCTAAAAACACAGATGGTTGTCTCTTCTGGGCATAAAGCAACTGTTTTAAATAATTTCACTTTGCCTTGTTATGGAGCATAAAGGAAGGAAATATGTTTTAAAGAAGGTTGGCTTTGGTTTTACAATTTCGTACTTTAAATGCACTTTAGTTTAAATCCAAACTTTTGAGCAAATGTTTGAGATAAAAATGTTTCAAAAGTATGTGATAAGAAGTGTTACATGTTCACCATGAATCGTGATCTTGGGGTGGGGGATCCAGCATGCCTTGGCCTTCTGCCCTGTATTTGATTCCCATATTTTAAGAAAAAAAATATATGCCATGTTTGCTTGAATGGTTGGTAATTGTGTTGCATTATAATATGTATTAAATTATCTTTAAGAAACTGAAAGTTGATGGGCATACTCAAGAATTAAGTTAAAGTTATGTTGACTTAGTTATGCTAGGACTGATAAGTACAATAATCTTTATCGTCACTATATATATATACAGTGGAACTGGATGAAGTATTGTCAGTGCAAAGAATAAAATCTAAACTGTACACCTGAGTATGATCAGTTGTGAGATAAATTATTGGGACATTTTTCAACCACCTTTGAAAACCTCTTTGAGTTTTGGAGTTTTTTGGAGTGTTTTGGTTTTTTAATATACTTTGTGTCAACTTTAAAAATTATCATCATCATCACTTAGCAAATCACTAGGATCAAAACCCTCCCGGTACTCCTGTTGACTTTCTTCATCTCCCTGATAAGCTTACTATTTATTTGTTAACCTCTTCTTTTGAATACTTTCCTGCATTTCCATATTCACCGCAAAACCTCCTTGTCTTCTTTTCTCTATCCAGAGAAAATACCAAAAACCATTTTGGCAATTTCCTTCACCACTTCAGCTCTACCACTTCCAGATATCTGGGAACTCTTCCCTACCACCCAGAGCCTGTGACAATTTTTCCCTGTGCAACGTTATTCCTTCTTAAGCTTCCACTATTAAATCCTTGTGTCTGCCTTCACTTGCTACTTCTTCTTGATTTCTTAAGTCATCCTACAGACTACCATCAAATTCTGACTATCTACATTCTCACATTGCAGCTGCCTATTTCTTTCAGATTGGACCTGTTTTCCTTTTTAGCTACAGGTTTCTTGTTAGACTCAGAAATAACTGACAAAAAAGGGAGAAGACCAATGGTGAAATTGCTACTTTCTTCACACTTTAGAAGAATATGCATCCTAGAGGATGGATTTTAAAAACAAAAATTTGGAACAATATCTGAATGTGTGGGACAAGTGATAAAAATGTAGTGGAGTCCTACATAAAGAGGGACCCGTGCTCACCCTAAAACGTTTTAACACTCACAAAATGATCATTTATGTTACTAAAAAAATTGCATTTTTAACATGGTTTTGCTGCTTTATTCTTAAATCTCATATAGTTTATTATAAGGTCCAATCCCCAAAAATATGTTATTCTTATATTTTATTGTGAAAAAAGGTTGAAAACAGGAAGTTGCGCTCTACGTAGGCGTTTGCGTGACGTAACACGTAAATAAGTTGATCAAGCTGTTATTAGCTAGGTTGTTTTCTTCCTTTAGCCTTAATCTCTCGCATGATATTAATGACTGGGTGACATTTACACACAGCTCTTGGGAGATAAACCGGAACTGACACTTTAACCAACAAATGAGGATATGCCATCCGACTTTGTAACATATACAGAAAGTACACCTTGTGAGGACGAGAAACCGAGAGTCAAACAGCTAACAGCGGTCAGCGCCGCAAATCTCCACACCGTGTACCGCTCATGCTGACTTTCTCTTCCATTTCTTCTTCGTTTTTAGTCGGCCTTTAGATTCGCCAAGTCCGGTCAGTGGTTTCTCCAGAAGAGAATGAACTGGTTTTTCCCAACCTCCAAAGGCTCTGGATCTCTCCCTCCTCTGAACAGCTTACAGCAACAGAGACAGCGGCAGATCGAGTCCCTAAAAGCTGCCCACCCGAGGTAATAACGATCCGTCACCCCAAAACCCGACCCGTGAGATTGTTTTATGGTCACCACGATGTTTCCTGAACATTTTAATGGGGTTAAATAGAAAACACCCTCACTCAGTTTACCAACACACCTGCTGTTTACTTCTCAGAGCTAGCTACTTCTCATAGTTAAGTTAAAAGTACCTCATGCTAGCAACCAACTTTTCGTTTATTATCGACCACATTTATCCCATCTGTTCTCTAAATATTCAAATTATGTAATACTATTTTAGGTAAACCCACTTTTGTGAAGCCCCTTAGTCTGGTTTGTAAGCTAATCTTGCTAGCCTTTTCTCATGGCTAATTAGCGCGTGCTATGTTAGCATTAAATGACAGGGTCTATTTTTAGGGCTCCTGGCTGAACATGTCCTGTGGTCATGTGTTTGCCATGCATGTAGTTTTAAAATGAGCTTGTTACTGAGAAGTGGAGATTAAAGTATTAGCCTTTGTTTATCAACGAATGTTTCCAGCGTAAGCCACCATAAACCCACTGTTGTGGTTCATTTCTTGAGGAGTCACAGTCTTCTCCCTCCTAATGCGAATTATGCCACGTGTGTGACAAAGAAAAGGGATTACACAGTTTCTGAGAAGGAACCAAGCATATCAAATGCAGATCATGTGCTTTTAGATGCTATGGAGCTCTGTTGAATGCTTCTCATATGATGACACTGATGTTACTAGGTGTAAGGTTAAGGTTTTCTACACGCTGCTTTGACATGGTAATTGATTTTTTGGGGTGCTGACTGTTTAAACCCCTTATATTGACTTCCGGACCAACTTCAACATGAACCTTCTTTGCCCTATTTTTTCAAGTTGTGATTTTATAAACAGTGTGGCATTACAATTATTCCATCATTTCACTGGTGCAGTTTATCTGGTGAAACTGCAGTTATTCAGATAAATAGTGGTATCAGCAGCATTAGAGGCAGTGGAAGGGAAAGTTCATTATTATCAGACACTGACAGACACTTGTGTGTGATTTTAAAACCTAACATGTCAAGTGTATTAATTGCTCTTTTTTGTGAAACAACTCTTTTTTTTTTTCCTACCTTTTCCCCAGCGATCAACTACTAAGTACCATAAATAGATTGCATTTACTTATTCATGAAAACTATGTTCACCTTCTGTGCCATTTAATCCCTCACCGACAGAATTTGTTGGGTGAGGATAAATACTGAATCTATCATTTGCTCTTCAAACTAGCAGAATTTCATAAACCTTGACCGTAGGTGTATAATTCTTCTTTTGCATCTTCTTTTGATTGCATGTTGATAAATCTTCAAATTTTTGGCCCTGTTCCTGTTTTACAGCCTTGCAGAAATCCAGAAGGATGTGGAATACAGAATACCATTCACAGTCAACAATTCAACCATTAGTGTTAACATGTGAGTACATTTATACACCTACCAGGTGGGGTCAAAAAGTTCTAATTGTATGTCTGTGAAAACAAAGAGCCTTACCTAAGCTCACATTGAAGGTCATTTTCTCATATACATCTGGCTGCTTTTTTTTTTTTTTTTTTTAGATCTCTCACTACTATCATTATATTCTCTTGCATTTCTGCTTGGTTTTTATTTTCAGTAATTGCATTGAACTTTGCACTGGGAGTCTCACACCATTGGGTAATGATAATAGCATCTCATGTACCGCATTGCCTTCAGGCTTGGAGACTGTGGACTGCAAACTGCTGTATTGTAGCCAGAGCCTGTTATAACCAGCCGTGTTTTTTCAGATGAAATTTGGGTCAGTTTAAAAGAGTGGTCAGAATGGGAATAATAGCAGCCATGCTGGAGGCTGCTTAAACATACCCAGCATTATGACGGTCAACATGGGTTAGGCCAAAAAGGATTTTGGATTTTATGGGCCTCTTTTCTGAAACTTTTTGTCACACTGCATACAGTAATTTCAGATTATCAACAGACAATGGTTTGTGTGCCTCAAAGTCAGTCTGTACTTACACCACTGATTGAAATCTGACTGTAAATTAATACAAAAGAAGGCTAACATTACACGAGAAACAAGATAGAAATTTTCAGATTTCCACAAAGAAGATGAGACAAGAAAAACTAGTAAAGCCGGTTGAGAACCCAAATATGTGCCATAGGCTCTAGTAACTCTCGCATTAGGTAGTCAAATGTTTGTGAGAGCTCTTAGGAAAAACCTTTGTCACACATTCACTCCCATTTCTGCTTCTATTTTTGTCACCTATAAAGAAAATATGGGGTTATATAATATATATAATATATGCTTTATAGGTGTGGAGGACTGTCCAATAATTGGTTTGGGTCTGGGTATTTGAGAACTGTATTTGCCATAAACATTTTTTGACAGATGCCACTTTGGCATGTAACAGCAGGTAAACACAGGTTTTACTAATCCCAAGAACAAAATTTATGACACAATAAATACCTACATTTTCAATAATCCTGCTCTTATAAAGTCTGTTTCTTTGTTTATCAGTGAAGTTCTCATTTGCTTCCTGCATAATTGACTTGTTTCCTATTGATTATCAAGTAATGTTTATTGATTATCCAGCAATACTACATCATAACTAGATTATATTATCTGGGCTGTAAATTGTTGATAGTTAAACCCTTTAATGTTAACTAAGTTAAACACTTCTCTTTTGTTACCCTTCATTTCAGTTTGCTGCCTCCTCAGTTCCCGCAGGAGAAACCAGTGGTTAGTGTCTTTCCCCCTGTTGGTCATCATTTAGTGGACAGCAATAATGGCACTATGATCAAGAGCCCCCTCATCACTAATGTAAGTAGCTTTTGAGAATTAAAGAGGTTTTTTTTCAGATCTTAAACAAGAATTATAAATTATGGCATCCTGAATCAATACTTAAAATGACACAGATAACACTTTTTTTGTTTAAAGTGTCATTGCACAAATGTGTGTGTGGTTTTCTTTTTTGCTTCTGTTTTTCAATGATCTGTGTGGAAAAAAAGAGAGAGAGAAACAAAGGGAAGTAAAACGCTGCAAAGTGACAGCATTGCTGTGAAAGCAGCAGGACAAGTTGAAAGATCATTACTCATGGTAGTGTCCAAGATAACTACATTTCTCATCTGACTAAAAGTGAAAGTGAAATAAGTAACTTAAAGTCAGGGGGTTTCCAAGCCTGAGCAGTAGGTCTTCTCACCACCGATCAAATGCTCTGTGTCTTCAACCAAGAAGAATAGTCTAATTCTATTATCCAGTTTACTTGGAAATACGTATACGTAATCCAGTGTTCTAAAGCTATAATACATCATCTGCACACACAAATAAATAAATAGCATACTTTAGAAAGCATCTTGAATGTAACCAAATTTTAAAAAATAATTTAATACATAATTAAATTGATCCAGATAGAGTGGGGAGCTGTCGTCGATGCACAGCTGTGCACATAAACCAGGTGTTCATCAGCTGCAAAAACATGTACTTGTTTGCTTTTTTCTGTTTCTTTCATTGGTTCATTGTGAAGTAAATCCACTTATTTTAGGTTCTTCTGTTAATTCATGCTTTAATTTTATCCATGTTACTGTATTTAGTTGTTGTTATATATGTTCTAGTTTGGGATGCACTCAGACCTGGGAAAGGTCATCCAAAGTCTGCTTGACGAGTTCTGGAAAAGTCCTCCCGCCTTGATGTCTAGCGGTCCTTCTGGCTTTCCTTAGTAAGTCTCCTCCTTCTGTCATTGAGAATATAAGACACTTATTTCTCAGTACTTTCTTATGGCATTCTAAGAAAGTTCGTATATTTTTCAAGTGTGGTCTTATTTTAAATATTATTTTAAAGTGGTTCTAAAAAGCAGTTCGATATATTTTGTCCACATCATTTAAACATTGATGTTATGCCTTTCATTCTTTCCTTTTTTCACTGGAGCAGTATGTACAAATCTTCAGGTATAGCACCTTACCCCAATCCGGCTTTTCACTTTGGTTCTCGCCACATGGGACCCAGTCAGACACCACCTTCTGGTCCAGCCCCTGCGCCAATGCCTCACCCAGGGGTCGATAGTGCCCTTGGGCCCCCTCGAGCTCCAGCGCCATATGGAATAATTTCTGACCTGCCACTGCCTGTACCTATTGGAGATTCAGAGGTATGCAATTGATGCACAGTGTATTAAAATGGAATGGTAACAGTCAAGCATATAGCAAGCAAAGCATCACCTTCCCCAACCAGATAAAAGCATTGATCAAAAATTTGTAGGTTCCTCCACCTATATCCCAGGTTCTGGACTGCTTCCAGCACAAATTCTGTTTAATAAAGATTGCTTTGTAAATGTAAACATTAGCCAGGCTGGAAGCAACCCACGAATGGTTGAGAAAATGTCACTGATGGGGAAATTGGCCAAATTTAAAGGTAATTGGTGGAACTCAAGGATGTATTTTACCCCAAACCAGAACTTTTTGTTGAACCTAATCAAGTAGTTTTCAGCACATGAACCTAACCAGAGTTAAACCAAAAGTGAAAACAAAACAAATCAGCAAATAAAGAAAAAATCCAAGCTTGGGAAACAAGCCATGGTGTCCTGCCAACAGATCTACAACTTGCGCTGTCATTAACACTCCATACAACTAATGCGGACTTTCTAGGTCACTCAAATAAAACTTAATCTCATGCTGGCCAATATTAGTGCCACTAGTGCATGCACATTACACATTACAGGAAGAAGCAGATAGCATCAGACAAAATTACTCAGCGAACTAGCATTGGACAGTCCGACGCAGCTCTAGTGTTCAGACATTAATACACTGAAGATTGTGATGTGAATATATAACTTCTGTTTCTTCTAGACTAGACTAAATGGACACGTGTACAAGATGCCTGAGATTCCTGAGTCTTTTCCTGAACTCTGTGACATGAAGTAAAGTATTCCTTAATGATTTCAAATTAAAATGTTTGCACAGTGTGAAATGTTTGTTCGTGACAAACATTATTTCATACCATTATTGATGTATTCAATATCTTACCCACTGTTTATGTAAAGTGATGGAAATAATTATAAATAATGCTGAATTTATAAGTTGCTCACTTACAAAGAAAGCGATAGTGTCTAATTTTTCATTTTAATGGTGAGAGACAGATTATCAACCCAAAATGCAGAAAAATCTCCAAAAAGTATTTGGAAAATCTAGAACTATAAAAATCTTGCTCCAGGGGGGGAGCATGATCATGAGAAAGGTGGTGGATCAACCTGAAACTACACAGGAAGAACTTGTTAGTGATCTGAAGACAGAACACCATGTAAGACTCTTGCCATAAATGACTTAAATATTTCAGCACATGTAGAGGCATGTCCTAAGTTTGTTAGTGAACATCTAAATCAGCGGTCCCCAACCTTTTTTGCACCACGGACCGGTTTATGCCCGACAATATTTTCACGGACCGGCCTTTAAGGTGTCGCGGATAAATACAACAAAATAAAACCAGTACCGGTACCGAAAAAAATAAGATTTATTCATAACACACGTGAAAAGACCCAGGAAAACAGAGTTAACGATAAAAACGATAACAAAATAACGCTGAAAACCATACATTTCACACCTGAGCCTCAACTCTCGCGGCCCGGTACCAAACAACTCACGGACCGGTACCGGTCCGAGGCCCGGGGGTTGGGGACCGCTGATCTAAATGATTCAGAACTGGCAGAAAATGCTAGGGCTCAGCTCAACGAGCCATGTTTGGAGTATGAAATCTGCTGAGTATAACCCAAAGTGCACCAACCCGACAGTCAAGAAGCAGTTAAAACGTTATACGTTGTTTTTTTCTTCTAAGCGTACACAATGACTTCACTCCATTGAGGTTTTTGGTTAATATTCTGTCTCTATCCATTAAAATGAACCTACAATAAAAGTTACAGGCTTTTCATGTTTTTTGTAAGTGGGTACACACATCAAATAATTACTCTCACATATCTGCCCATTTATCCACTTTTTTCTTTATCCACCCCCAGCCTGACACAGTTGTCAGATATGTCTGAAAATGAAGATGTGTTGCTCAAGTTTTTTGTGAGTTTGCCACAATTGAAACAGGTCACATCTGATAAAGAAGAGTTGGTCAACAGTATACTGGACATGGCCAGTAAGTTCCCCCCCTGTTCTCATAGATGGTCTTGCGAGTCATAGGAAAGTGAAACTCTAATTTAAGTTGGTGTCAATGTGTTTTTGCAGAGAAAAATCTTCAAATGGAGCCACATCTGGAAGGAAAAAGACAAGAGATGCTCTACAAGGTCAGTTCATATGTAATTCCTCTTTGTTTCATAATCAAGTCAAGTCAGTGTATTTATAAGCACATTTTAAAAAATGCAGTTTGACCAAAGTGCTGTACTAACTGAAAAATAGAAAAGTAATAAATATATACATCAATATAGAAAAATAGAAGATAAGCCACAAAAGCAAAACAACTCAGTCACCGTAAAAAGCTAGGGATTAAAGAGGTGTGTTCAGACAGGTTTTCAAAATGTTAGAGAGGTCAGAATTTGAAAAGGCAGACGGTTTCAGAGTTTAGGCGCAGTAACTGCAAAGGCACGGTCTCCTCTCTGTGTCATACACACATAGCTCACATATTCGTTCATGCCATTGTCCTGCTGCTCATTATGTGTTTTTGTCTCTTGTGCTAACAGTATGAACAGCTGACTCAGATGAAGTCAGCTTTTGAAACAAAGATGCAGAGACAGCACGAACTCAATGAGGTAAATGGCCACACCAGCACACTCTGGTTTTACATGTAATACATGTTTAGTGCAAATACATGTCTTGAAATGAGAGTTTTAACATTTTCATATGTTTATTCCAATCCTGATTTATCATTTTGTTGATTAAAACTGAGCTTGGGTTGTTTAATATACTGTGTAACTTGTGAATTGTTTAACTGTGTAATTGTAGTACTCTTTGTTACTTAACCCTCCTGTTATGTTACGGGTCAGATTGACCCAGAACAGAAGAGATGTCACATGTCATCTGCATCACTACAGAAAACAAAAAAAAAATCAAAATTATAAAAGAAAATTGTAAAATAATCAATGCTAGTGTTTCTGACACTTTTTGATGAGTAAATTTGCCCCGGGTCAAATTAACCCAGGAGCATAATTGGTGTTCCTGGAAACCAACTTAACAGGAGGGTTAAGCTAAGCTTGATTGACTGCTTAGTTTCCAGAAAACAAAGCACAAAAAGAAAAAGTAAGATATAAGATACAGACTTAATTGGTGACTACATGTCGGTCTGCTACAGTTGTGGTCAGAGGTTTATATACACTCATCAATGACGTGAACGTTGTGGTGATTTTTTTGGCTTTTAATTGACTTTTCCAGGGTTTAATGATTGCACAGCATATATCTTTATTCACTTTAAATAGCAAGTATTGGGTGCATAAGTTTGAATTTCTTTTGAATTTTCTTTAATCCACACAAGGTCAAAAGTATACATTAAAGGCTCAAATATATACATACAGTTACTTTAATCTTTCAGCAGGTTATCCTGAAGATTTTACATTGTCTTTTTACTTGACTTGGCCAATACAAGGTCCCTTCACTGTCAGAAAAAAGGATTTGTTTAACAGTACTCATTAGATTGAGCAATACTCTAAAGAAGAGCTTATAGATATCAACCCAGACATGTTTGCCTGTAAACGCTCTTTGATCATTTTGTATTTCATTTATGTTTTGTCTTTGTTTTTTTATTTTACTCCCTACCAGAGTTGCAGTCTAAGCACTCTACAGGCTCGGTTAAAAGTCGCAGCTCACCAGGCAGAGGAGGAGTCAGAGGAGACGGCTGAAAACTTCCTGGAAGGACGCATTGACATTGACGAATTCCTGAACAGCTTCATGGAAAAAAGAACAGTGAGATGCTAACAACAGCAAGAACGACAAAAAAACATTTATACCTAGAATTGGCCAGGAGTCATTTTTATGCTGTTTTTTAATTCATGTTTCATTCATGTTTTGTTATATGAGTCAGAGTTAGCTGGGTTTGATTGAACGATACATAAAAAGAGGATAAAAAAGTTGGATAAAAAATCATTTTTTTGAGTTTTGAATGGGATGCAAACAGGGTGTTAAACTTGTAAGGAACTGGAGAGAGGCTGATGACGGTCATGATAATGACCAATCTATCATGCAAAGCCTACCCGCTGTGTTGACCCCTTGTGGCAAGGGAAAGCTGAAAGTAGCTTCTTTTATTTGTTATCATTGGAGAAAGTAATTAAAAAAACTTATTCAAGAAGTGAAATCTTTGCTTTTGTTGATACTGTTGCATCAGTGGGTAAAAATGATGCCGCGTGGCTGTTCTAGTGTTACGTGTTGGCTTTTTTTAACCTTTTAAAAACTGAACCATGAAATAATTGACAGAGATTTTTAATTGTTTAAAAATAGAGGTTTTATTGAACCTCCTGACACTTTTTAAAAAATTATAGTTTTAATTTGTGCCATATTTACTGCATTTGGCTCTATTGTAATTTATTGTAAATTATTGTTAGGTGTGAATGTTATAGGAAGTACTGCATTTAACATTTTAAGGGGAAACTTCAGATGACTTTGGTTTTGTTTTCCAGCTTTGCCACAGCAGAAGAGCCAAAGAAGAGAAGCTGCAACAGTCCATCAACACACATGGCCCGTTTCCTACCAGTCACTAGATCACAAGGTAGAAGAATCACAGCACAACACACATTACTTAGTCGCATTGCAGTCACATGTCTGCTTTTACAATGACTGTAATAACCTTTCCTCTTTTTTTTGGAAAGGAAAAAAAAGGAAATTGTATTTTTTATTCTCATTTATTCATTCTGCTTCTCTCACCATTTCTTTGGTCCTCAGATTCAGTGTTTCTCAGCCAACTGCTGCCAAGTAAAAGGAAAAAGGTATTACAGGGGCCGAAAAGCACACTGGGCACTCATCAGTTTGGAGAAACATGAAGATTTTGATTGCAATGCTGGGCTAAAACAAGAAGCCTATGGTGTCCTGATCCAAGCTTAAAAAACAACACAACAAAACAAAGCAAAACACAAAAAAGCAGTTAAAGTTGGATCTTGTGAGAGTAACGTTAAGTCACCACAGGAGGCCAAACCTTGGAGGATGAGTGGCACATGCCTAGATGCTCCAGACACATTACTATGGATTCATCACATTGTGGATAATTTTATTGCACTTTTTTTTCCAGTTTTGACATGGCAGTGATTACAACAAGCTTTGTTTTCTCTTTAGATTTATGTCACGTTGCTCATAAAATCTTGCCTGTTCTTAATCAGGAAGGTTGGAGATGTGAAGAAATTTGGAAGAAAGTACAAGTTGTGTAGTACAGTGCCCCTAATCTTCCATTTTCTTTGTTGTGGGCTAGTTAGTATCACTTAAAAAGTTATTCTGAAATATTGGTGTCTGTACCATACATCTCTGAGATCAGTCCTTGCTTAATCATCCCATTACACTTTACGGAGATGTTGTGCAGCCAATGCACTTTCAGCGATAATTTGTCCAAGACAGCCATGACTGTCAGTGAGTAAAACAAAGAAAAGAAGCAAGGACTCAACAGTTCGGTCAGGAGACATTTAATTGGGCTGTTAAAATGTAAACTGTGTTTTCAAAGTGGAAAGTGGTTGATTGTTAATCAAGCTGTCAGTTTGAGGAAATCCTAAACACAGCCTGAATATCATTACATAAACATTCATAGTTAAGGTTTCAGATTTTCTATCAGTACTCTGATAATCCCTCAATTTATGTACTGTAAGTTGTAATACATTTGTTTCCAATTCAAAGTTAACGTGAACCAAGCAGACCACATAACATACTGTAAGAGCTGTTTCAGTTGTTAGTTCCTGTATTGTAATTCTGCTTATTGAGGGTCACGTGTTGAAACCAATGCTAACACGATTAGCATTTGTGGTTCTTGTTTTTAGCACTGAAAGCAAATATTTTTCCGCTCAGAGGGCGGGTTAAACTACATTAACTCAAATCTGAATACTTCAGTCCCTCTTTTGCTTTTTACATTGATTTAAAAAAAATAATTCTTGATGTAAACATACTGACCACCACTTTTTCCTTATATGCACAGTTATGATCGCCTGAGAAACTGTTTTCTGACACCTGAAACCTCAAACTTGAAATTTCTGCTGAAAAGCCTCAGAAGATGTGGGATAATGTTGAGGAATATTAGTTTAAATGCTGCAGTAAAACTCAATGACATTGGATACTGTATTTAAATAATGTTAATAATAGGCTATATTGTAATCAAACACTCGAGACACCTTGTATTATATGTTCTTATTTAATTTGTTAGAGTAATAAAGCATTTAGAATAAATTCTGTGATCACATTCTTTTTAACATGCCAGCATTGCCTGAAAGCCAGAGGTTCTCAGGGTATCCTTGGGCTGCATGATGTCAATAAGGTGCCTGACCATGATGTGGAATTTGTTCAATGAACATACAGAGAAATCCCCAACAATCAAATTATCACTAAGTGAACAGCCTCTTGGCAATACTGGGAAGGAAAAACTTGTTATGAACAGGAAGACACCTTTGGCAGAACCAGGCTCAGGAAGAGGCAGCTATCTGTCGTGACGAGTTGCGGGTGATGGGAGGAAGACGGGACAAAAAAACACACTCTGGAAGAGAGCCAAGTAATAATAAATAATGATTAAATCCAGAGTGGTGTGTAAGCTCAGAGAGTGAAGGGTGAGTGAAGAAGAAACACTCAGTGCTCTGTAGGAAGCCCTCAGCAGCCTAAGCCTATGGTGGTGTGACTAAAGAAGGATTCAGGGTAACCTGCTTTTGCCTGCTGTGGATATCATCTTCATCAGTAAACAGATTACCACCACAGACTCTGTTCTCTCTGCAGTTTCCATGGCACCCAAGTGCATACGTCAAAGATGCAATTTCTCTGTCGACATGGCAACCTGGTAACGTTAAAACACGTCGATTAGATTAAAAAAATGAATGAAAGAAAAGGGAGAGACTAAGAAAGAGGTGCCAGTCAGAGGAGGTAAGTCTGAGCTAAAACACTAATAGTCTGCTTTTTATTTAGCTGTTACTTTATTTAGCAGTAGCTCCTGCTTTTCAATGAATGTGGTTTGTCTCTGTATTAATTATTTTGTGTATCTGGCTTTTCTTATGTGTATGTACCATATACTAAATCTATTCATTAAGAATTTTATGTGGAGCTGCCACTTTTATAATATTTGAAACTTAGAGGTTTTTAACATTTAACATGTTATGTATTGCTATTGTAAAAGTAAAGGGAATAATTTTAGTAATGTTAATTTGGTCACTGATATTGTGACAGCTCTAAAAAACAGGTCTGCAGGCTTGAATGAACAGAGGTGGCAGGGATGGCGTCCCGCAGTAGTTCCTCCACAGCAGCAGGTGGCAGTGATTCACCACAAAAACCTACAAAGACGAAGAGAACCCGGAGGAAAAGACGGAAGGCGCGAGCGGTAGGGGGTGAGTAGGTAAACATGTTTAAATGAACCTGGAAAGAATTACATTTTTTGTTTTTAAACATTAGAGCAACTGCAGAACTGGACAAGCAAATAACCGGGTCCATTGGCAATAACCGTTGATTGACAAAAGATAGCAGATAGTTAAGTTAAAGTTGGCAAAATGTCTGGCTGTAACGTTACCTAGCGTAACCTTTCTAAAAAGATTCAGTCATAGTTACAATATTTATATAGTTGATGCTAAAAGCTAGCATCAGTAGTTTTAGCGTAAGTTAGCCGTTCGGCAAAGACAAGGAAACTGTTTCAGAAATGATGCTATTGTTGAGTTTGCAGGAGGGAATAGTTGTAGCATTTTAACTTAAAGAACATCTGCTAACAGTCCTCAGAGAAAGTGCTTATTTCACTTTTTATACACTTTATAACAGAAATACGAAAGTACCGTGAATTTGGTTTGAATAACAATTTGGCAGAACGTCGGATCGGACGCTGGTCTTATTTAGTTTGCTATGTTTTGTTGTTGTTGTTTGTTTGTTTTTATAGATGTCTACATGTGCCTTTTAGATGTTTTATAACTTCTTTTTGTGTCAGTGAAATAGTAAGTGTCACTTTTTCATCACATTCTTATTTATCTATTTGTTTATTATTTACGTTTAGCCAGCACAAAAGTGTTGTGGGATGATCATCTTTTTTGTCTGGTTTACAGATATTTAACTATATATATAAAGACCACCTGTCTGTACCCACAGACATGTCACGACAGATGGGAGAAAGCCATCGAAGGTTTCTTCAGACCATGATGGTCAGTGGAGTAATCGATGAGCAAGCTGCAAAGGCTCTTTATCAATACTGCTGTGAAACGCACCGCAGTAAGTAAATTCCTATACATGTGAACTAGAGCTGGGCGATATATCGAGTTTTTAAAAAATATCGATATATTTTTATACGAGATATAAGATGTGACAATATCCTTTATATCGATATAGTCTGTTACGTTATAATTATACTTGTGGAGCCGCAAATTTGCCTCTCTTTCGTCCACTTTCGTCTTTATGCAACGTTACTCGGCCTCGCCTCTCCTTCACTGAACACAACTCCCCCTCCTCCCCCATCGCTTCACCTGCAGGAAGCGACAAGATGGACACGGCAAATCTCCGTTAACGAGTTACTGCGCATCGCCCCGTGCGTGGGGCTGGACGGCGTCAACGTGTTAGCTAGCTAACCACGCTAACGAGCTAACCACGCTAACGCCATGCAGCCCAGAGGTGCTGCACGGACTAAAATCCTTGCATTTTCTCAAAAGTTGACAGCGCGCCTTATGTATGAATTCTGGTTGTGCTTGATGGCCGCGAACCGATTTTATGTGGAACACGGCGCTCAGCAATCTGTCAAAAAATGTTTTAGTACGACTTTGGTAAGCTACGGAGCTGCACCGCTTGATGGATTGTCGGAGCATTACGGCTGAGCCTCGCGGAGTGATACGTACTGTGCTTCAACGTAGTATTACCCTACTGTGTATAAGGACCATAAATGGCACCTGTTAAGAGACGTGGTTGCGAAGCGGATTTCAAACTCCAGGCTGTCAGTCACGCAGTACAAGTTGGGAACAGAGCAGCTGTGAAATCTGTCTTTGTTATTGTGCTCAGCGTCTTTTAGTTTACATTTTGACTGCACAATTGTGAGCTTTTTGTTATGCACAAAAACAACATTGTTTTCTTTTATTTATGGAGCATTATTATTTAATAAATGCTCATAATTTATTTTTGAGTAAATTTTATGTACATCTGCTCTATGTTAATAAAAGTGCCTGTGTGACATCTGGGACACAGCTTTGACTAAGAACTCTCTTTTTGTTCTTACTTTATGGCTTTAAAAAAATATATCGAGATATATATCTTATATCGCCATCCAGCTAAAAAATATCGAGATATGAATTTTGGGTCATATCGCCCAGCCCTAATGTGAACAACAATTGAATGAAAATTCAAAATGCACCTCATAGTGTATCTGGAGACTAGTGTAAAGTAGGGCAACAAAAAGTAGTATCACCCCCTTATTAATTATTAATAAATAATTTCTTATTTTCTTACACTAAGAGACTGTTACTATTGATTTACTGTTACACAAAAAAGCAACCTCATTACACTTGAAGGCAGTGTTACAAGACGCCTTGTACCAAAATTAGCTACTAACTAATTTCTGTCTGCAGACCCTGTGCAGATATATAAATTATTAAATAAGTTGTAAAATACAAATTTTGGGATAGAAGTACAATAAGATGATGGTATATATGTTCCAATTAAAATCCTTCAGCCCAACCCTCCCCAAACATATAGACATTATAAAATATTTTTGTGTATATGCACTAGGGCTGTGCCATTTCATATTGTCCATTGTCCATTATATCATCAGAAATATTGTCACAACTTGCCTTTAAATACTGTGATACAATTTTGAGATTATATCACCAACCTTTAATGTGCACATTATGACACCAGAACCACAATGTGTCTTGTTTTGTTTTGTTTTTGTAGGAGACTAACAAACATTGTTGTTCTTGTTTTTTTTCTGCAGCACAGTATGCACCCGACAAGCTGGAAGATTTTATTGATACTATCAACTCAAGACTGCAGCCAATGTTCATGCAGATTAGGAAAGGGATGTCTGAAAATAACGGTCTGCAGTACTACGCCTTGGTTAGTGATTTAATGCTTGTATTGGGTCTGCCTTGTCAGGCTGTTGTTTAGTATGTGTCCAAGCTGCAAAGACTTTACATGTTTAAGGATCATATTAAAGGAAATACATTATTAATTAAAGTTTAACTTTAATCCCATCCAGGTGAACATGGCTGAAACTGACATCACCAGGATGTCGTCAGATTATGCCGACAATGAACTTGAGCTCTTCAGGAAAACAGTGAGTTAAATTCACAGCAAAACAACATGTTATAGATGCCTCCACTATAAATTTTGGTATTTGTTGGGGTGGGGTTTTAAGTCTCTGGTGGTATATTGATGTAAAACCCTGAAACAACATAACTTGTAGGGGTGGGGGAAAAAATCGATATGTGTAGTATCGTGATATTTTGTTTGCTAATAATGTATCGATACAGGGACAGCAGAAATCGATATTTTGTTACAAAAAAAGTTTTTGTGGACTGGAACATGCTCTGACTTCAGAGCATGTTGATCCTTTTTCTGAGCAAGAATCCTGACATTCCTTCACTGTCCAAATGTGTTAAACTTTTTTTTGGCAGCAATAAACATGACAGTTTACTTATTTTAATTTAAGACATGTTTTATTTTAATTAAGTTTAAAACTTTTTTATTTAATGTAAAATTATATTTTGTTTTAATTTACTTTCAAATTCTTCAGTTGCTGAAGGGGCTGCATAGTTTTCATAAATTGCATAGTTCAGAATAGCTATAATTGTACCAGAAGGTTGCATTCAGTTAAGTTGGACTAGACTGTAATACAAATCGTTCAGTTTGTCAACAATAAAACTGACTGAGTGTGAGACTTTGATATTAGATAAAATGAATATTGATAAAGTTTACCTTTATGTACAGAATCTGAATATCGCAAAATATTTAAAAAAAATTGCAATAATATCGAATCGTGCATTAAGTATTGTGATAATATCGTATCGTGGGATGTGTGGTGATTCCCACCTCTAATAACTTGTAGGTTGCAGTTCAGTGTAACAGTCTAATCAGTGACATTATCCATAAACAGTGGTCAACATTATTTTTTTGTTCAAAAGATCATGTAGGAAGTCATGAATAGATTACTGCACACAGATTTGTGTGACTGTGGCTCTTGAGGTAGAACATCAACCATTTAGAAGACTGGGGTTGTGATTCCTGTCCATATGTTAGTTTCCTTGGACAAGAGTATTGAACCCCAAATTCTGGTGTGTGTTAAATTGGCAGTCGTTAACCCTGTAAAGCCCAAACCATGAAAATTCAAAATTTTGGAAAATGGAGTGTTGAGAAAGAAGTTTAAAGAAGTTTTGTATCATATTTGCTACATCAGGAATTCCTAAACATATCATGTTAAAGACACAGAAGAAATGGTATGAATGTGTGTGAATGGGTGAATGTGGCTTGTAGTAAAACTAATGTTATGATCAACTTGAATTGTGCTCATTCAGTTGGACCTCATCGTGTGCTCTGAGGATGGCAAGGCTTCCTCTACTGATATTCTGAACAGCACAGACTCCATGACCACCAGAAAGATGAAGAAGAGCGAAACAGAGCACCTGTTGAGCCGATTAGTGCACGACAAATGGCTCAGTGAGGTAAAATACACCGTCTCTAGTAGGATTTCACAATTCTGATTATTTATTTCCCACAAACTACTTCCTCTTTTTTGTGAACGGATTATTAAAATGATTTCAGTTCTTCAAGTACTTGCCTTCCTATTAACCATATTTAAAATGGGAATGCAGCAGGAGGAGGTCATACAGCTTATTAAGGTCAAATATAATTACTCCATTTATGTTTATCATTCCCATACTGCTTCCTTTATTAATAAGGCATAAAATGTCATTAATTATGGTTTATTATTATAGGCTTTATTATACAAATAAAATAACGTTTATTTAGACAATCCTTCTCATTTACAGCTTACAAAACAAGATTTCTTTGTTTCAATGATAACAAAAATATAATAATAACATTTTGGGTATGTGTTTCAGTATGCTAGTATCATTTTAACTTGCGTGCTATTTGTTACCCTAGAAACGGGGCGAATACACCTTGTCCACCCGGTGTATCATAGAGATGGAGCCTTATATTCGCACAATGTATCAAGACCATGTCAAAGTGTGCCACATCTGTCGTAACATCGCTTTCCAGGTAAATGTTTCCCTTTTTACACTTAGTAATATCACCCTCGTACCCGCTTGAATTTAGGCACTGATGATCACTATAAACTGTAAACATTAGGTTGGTGTGGTTATATTACCTCAACTTTAAAAATATAAATTTTTATTTTTAAAACGAACAATGAAGATGACTAGCATGCATATACAATTTATAATTTATACTACAATTACTACAAATTATTGTTTATAATTTATTCATTTGCTGTTGAGAAAATTGATCTTGAGAGAGAATTGAAGTAAATATCATCTGTAATGTTGACCGCCTACCGTATTGGACACAACTGCTTGATAAAGCATATCTAATCAGCCATCCAAATTGCAGAAACTCATATAAACGTGCTGAAATCCCAAGTGTCAGCTGGAGAAGGACGGGGACTGAGGTCTCTTTAAATGTGGCATTGTTTATTTGAATATTTCAGAAATGGTTTTCACATAAAACATTTTTTAGAGTTTATAGAGAATACTCAGGGAAAGAAGAAAGCCATCGTGTGAGTGCTAACTAATTGACGTTGTCTTGTTGATGCCAGAGCTCAAAGAATAATGTCAGAATGGTTCTAGCTGATAGAAACAGTAATACAATCACCCAGTAATTATAACCACGTTATAGATATGAGCATCTCTGACTGCACAACATGTAGGATAGGTTGGCCACAGCAGCAGAAAACCAGTGTACTCCAGAACCATGTAAGATTGGAAAAACATTGTCCGGTCTGATGAGTTTCAGATGATAGGAACATAATTTGAGATTAAAAGCATAAAAGCATGGCTCCAGCCTGCCTTGTTGGTTGTAGGCACATGACTGATGTAATGGAGTACACTTTAGGCCTCTTAGTGTAATCTGAGCACCACTTAAACACCACAGCCTGTTGACTCATGTTGTATTCCTGTATTCCTCCTTTAATGGCAAGTGTTTTAATCGGCTAATGGGCATTTTTGACTGAATAACACACCACAAAGAGCATAAGACCAGTTTCTTTACTGTGCTAATGAGTTCACAGTATTTAAGTGGCCTCTACCACACCAGAACCAGTAGAATAGAGACTAGCATAATGAAGATGCAGCCCACATAAGTGAATCATCTGGGGCCAGTATGGACCAAAATCTTTGAGGAATGTTTTTAAATGAGAAACATTTAAGATAAAGGATAGTCCAACCTGATATGTGTTAAATGTATCCAAAAAATGACCATTTACTGTAATGCGTCACCAGCATTATTTGTTTGCTTACAGTATTTGATCTGAATTATAATTTTTTTGTCTCTCTTGTTTTTTCAGTGCCAAATCTGTGAGAATCCTACATGTGGCATAAAAATACACAACCCATGTGTGGCCAGATACTTCAAAGGCAAATCGGAGCCACGTTGTCCTTCTTGTGATGACTTCTGGCCACATGAAATCCCTGGTATATGTTGTTTATTCTCAAATGCTGTTTCTGGACACATTAGACCTCCAGTAGTTAGAGACTCCCAAACTTTGGTGCACATTTGATCGGCTTCAACTGGAACTGTGAATGATAAAAATAGAAATGAGTGTGTGGCGTGAATAAGGCACGGCGGGACCACGGAGTATCATTCGGAGCCATCTTTATTTACATCTCACCACAACACCCCCAAATCCCTGAGTCCCCATGTTTTTAACTAGACGGGCATGATTAAGGATGCCGTGCAGGTGCGTCCGCCCTCCCTGCACGGCACCGCAGACCACGCCCCACCACAGAGTGCAGAAAAGATGTGTGATTGCCATTTTATAATTCATTTAAACATATATTCAAATGGAAGGTGAATAGAACAACATAACAAACTCATGTTCTTTGTTCTTTTTATTACAGAAGTGAAACGTCCTCATTCACAATCCAGGAGATGAAGGCTTCATCAATAGTCTTTCTTAATGGTTTATTAATATAATATAAATGTCTTTATTGTTTTTGCTTTTATACATACAAAATAAAAGATTGTTTCAATACTGTAGTATTTGTATTGCATTTTACAAATATCTACCCCCGCCCCTCAAACAAAACAAGTTTCTCATTGTGAACATTTTTTTTCTGTCTAGATATATATTCACATTTTCTGTTCCACTAGAAGATAAGTTAAGAGAATAATGTCATTCTAAGACATAAAAGATTTTACAGTAATAGCCCATTTTAACTAACATGTGATGGAGATTTGAAAATTAGTTTTGCTGTACAACCTACACGAGTATCTGATTTGCTGAAGATAATGACATAAATCCATCTTAAAATGTGTCTCACTGTGTTCACAATAAGAAAGAAAGTTTTCACTGATCAGTGGCTGCTCAGTGGTTGAGAGGAAATTAAGGCGATGTCTTTCTTTCAAACCTTAATCAACTTTCCTAAACCCCCTTTTTAAGTCTGTAGCATACAAACTGTTAAACTGAAAGATTTAAGAAACAACAATAACCATTGATACTTTATCTTGTCCCCAACAAATTACATAATACATTTCAGTAATGATTTTTAATTTAAATGTTTCATCACGATCTTGTGTGTTTTTTAAGTGCTCCTTTAAATTTTGGAGCAGTGAACAATATGGCAAGAAATATAAAAAATACACAAAGAAATGAAGCAGAAATTTGAAAGTTAAAAAGGGAAGCTCAATGAATAAAAATAATGTAATAAGGAGCACAGTACTTAAAAATCTAAACAGAATAAATACAAGTCCTGTAGTAAAAAGCCTGAAAGATTCTCTGAATCATTATAATTATTATTGTTGATTTCATGCGGTAAGGAGGGTAAATCTTTTTTGCCATTATGCATTGATACATGACTTATATGTTCCAGTTCTGACAGGATACAATACTTGTTAGAGACAGTGGGTCATATGAAATAAGACTTTGTGACAGATGTTCTTTGATTCATTGAATAAGTCTATAATTAAAAAACATCATGCTACTGCCACATATAATAATCAGCAGTTTCATTCTCTCATACAGACTGATTTGGTTCAGGATAAATTTGCTATTTTAAAGTATATTTGCCTGAGAGGAGCCCTTCTCTAGTATCTTCAGGGAGACAATGAACCTGATAGCTTTTCTAAACCACGGGTAGAAAAAAGCATATATCAGTGGATTCAGACAAGAATTGAAGTACAGCATCCAGGAAACAATAGCCCAAGATGAAGCACTGTTTGAAATGTCCTGCCCTGCAAGAGAGGGATAGTAATACGGACAGAAACTCATCAAAAACACAAATATCACAACGCCAAGAGTCCTGGCTGCCTTTTTCTCTGATTTCTTTGCGGTGATTTTTACTGTACCAGCTGCAGCAGCTGTAATATGAGACCGCATGGCATGAGCCTGAGACAGCGCTACAACAAATACTCTCATGTACAGAATGATAATGACTGAGCAAGGGCCGATGAAAGTAAAGACAAGGTCGATGGCTCCAGAGACATAGTTAATCACCACCAAACACTGACCGTGACAGGTGTTATGCCTGTCTGGCTGCCTGAGATGCTCCTTTAAGATCATCCCGTTGTAGAGGAGCGAACAGGCCCAGCACAGAGTCACAGACAGCTCCGCTCTGCTGTGAGTGATTTTAGTGGGGTACTGCAGAGGATAACAAATAGCTACGTAGCGATCAATTGATATGAGCACCATGTTGCCCACAGAGGCTGAGGTGAGAGTGAAACCGATAATGTAAGTAAAAGCACACATGAGATCTCCCAGCATCCAGCAGGTTTCTATAAACCGCATTGCTTCCACCGGCATCACAAGCAGCCCGACCAAGAGGTCTGAGATGGCCAGAGAGAGCAGGAGGACATTGGTGGGCATGTGGAGCTGCCTGAAATGAGAGATGGATATGATAACCAGCACATTCAGAGCTACAGTTAGCACAGAGATAGACAAGAACAGTGTATAGAGGAGGAAAGCCTCAGGCTGAGGACGTGTTAAACCCCTGCAAGACAGATTCGCAAGCTCAGGGTAGCAGAGTTCAATTCTGTCCTGCCTGTCCATCATCCAGTATAAAGAAAGGAGGACCTGCTGACCCTGTGAGACATTGTACAGCTTATTTATCTCTGATGACACTCCCCCCTTCCAACTCCAGAGTCAACCTTTTCATCACTGCCTGCTAAGTAGTCCCTTGTCCCCCCCCCCCCCCCCGATTCTCTCCTACTGTTCTCTCCCCCCTCTCTTTTCTTCCTCCTCATCTATACTCCTCTCTTGTTTTTTCCACCTTGCTCCTTTCTTCTCTCTCCCCCCTTTCATCACCCATTTGTATGATGCAAGATTCAAGTTTCTAAGTTCTGTGAAGTAGTTTCAAAGCAGATTAAAGTGTAAAGCCAAAGCATTCATAAGTCAGCAGTCACATCCTTCACTGCTGACAGATGTGTCTGTTTTGACAGTGTTTGACATTGTGAGACTTGAGCTCCTGTTTAAGATGCATTTGACATTTTTTCCAAGTATTTCAGATTAATCAAAAAGCAAGCATCATCTTTAAATAGAAAATCATTACTTTGTTACTTAATTTTTCCATACTACAAAAGGACATCCTCGTGTGCAGACATTGGGTTATTATTTACAGCTTAACACAATAAAGGCAACATTATTTAATACATTTAAAACATTTTTATGATATATATCCCATGTGAGGAATCAGTGTTTCAGGGGAATAACTAGAAATAATAATAAATCTAATAATCAAACAACTAGATTCATCCCTCCATGAATTTCATAGGTTTTTTTCCCCAAGTCACTCAAATCATTTACTGATTCAAGTGTCTATTTCTAGGTTAGCAGTGTGAGCATGTTGGCAACACTGACCTTGGTTACGTGTTTGTACGACAGGTTATATTTCCTTGAGTTGAATTTCTTCCACTAAAGTGGTTTTTAGATTAAAGTGAAATGTCTTTGATCTAGTCATTAGAGCCTTGTAAATTTGCTGTTTATTTATTATTGGGAAAGAAGATATTTCTTAGCGTGTCAGAAGATCACTATATGAAATTTTGTCTGCAGCAAACTTTTCAGAGGATGCCGGTAGGTCAAATACTTTCAACAGTTCATTATGGGAAAAAGTGGTGGAGATGAATCCAAGTTTAAGGTTCGTGGCATTAGATCAGTGTTATGGAAGATGATGAAGGGTAGAGGTTAATAATGGAGCAGTTAAACTTGGAGGTGTGAATTTTAAGGTCTGCGGCTGTTTTGATACCAATCAGCTAAATAAGAAGGAGCTCTCCTTCTTGAATTGGAAACTTTGCAGAAACAGAATCACGCAGCAACAGCAAATGAGCGCGAACAAACCTCAAAGTTACACAAGAACTACATGAAGAGCAAAGATGTCTAAATGCTGACTTTCGTGGGCTTTTCCTTGCAGCACCCGACCTTAGCTACACTGAACAGTTATGGGAGCACAGACTGGGTTGCCAGGCTTTCCACAAAGTCTTGGAATCCTGTCTGCACCACTTCATATCTGGAGCAGACCCAAAACAACGATGCTCTCACATTTTTAATTTGTATTGTTTTAAGGTCCATGAGAGATGATGGCCTTTTTTGTATTTTTTGCTTTATAATTCACTCAGTATTTTCAGTGGCTGCCTGATCTGGACTGCAGACAAGCCAGATTAGCACTAGGACTCTTTTTTCACTGAGACATGCTGTAGTGTTTCTGGATCTTGTTTATATCTTTTTTTTCTTTACATTGTAAAGTTTTACAAGGTTTTTCTATAGAAACACATCTGTGTTTAATGCAGTACTGCCCGAGGGCTTGAAGATGAGTGCCATTCGATACTGTTTTGGAGCCTCATCTCAATTGGATTCATTTAACAATATTATGTACTGAAGATATGAAATTCTCATGTCTCTACCTGGATGGTATTATTATTATTAAGATAGACTGCAGAAGCCTCAACTTTTGTTTCTTTGTCTCTTTATTTAGGCAGGGAACCGTGCAACATGAGCTTTATGGAAACTTAAACGGACTGTATTAGTTTTGTTAGGAAAAGTTCAGTTTACTTCAGCCCTGTGGTTGTATGTCTGTATGTGGTTGTAGGCCTCAGTAACTGTTCAAATAGACATTTTACACATAAACTATTCATTAATAAAACCACAAAACTAAGAGTAAAGATAGCTGGATTTGATTTTTGGTCTTCTGTATACTGGCACACTGTGACACTGTCATAACTGACTGGGATAAATGAATGATACAAAGCCATTATTAGTCTGTGGAGTGAAATATGCTATTATAGTATCAGAATGTATTGGTGCTATTGTCATTTGCATTAAAGCATCAGTATTATGACCCCCCTGTAATCACTTGATCGCTGGCTCTTTCTATGATGCAGCTTCTCTTGGTTGCCATTATAATTATGTATAATTTTTCTGTTAGGTAAGGCATTGAGCTAATGGGAAACGCTGATTGTAAAATATAACAAAACTCTCTATTCCTGTGGAAAATGCCATCAATTTTAGTCCTAGAAACTTCAGTCTCAGTTTTAGCTCACAGCTTGTCATGCACTGGTCCTGATCACTTGAAGTGTAATAATGCAATTAATTCTCTATAATCGCCTAAATTTTGTTTTTACTCATTTCTACTTAAGTAATTCTATATTTTTTATGTCTATCATATTATGTATGACATTAGTTCCTGTTTAATCACTTATTTGACTCCTTAATTCAGGCACTGTGCATTCATGTGACATTTGGTTGCATCATGTGTTTTTGTTAAAGTTTGTTTATTAACACCTTTGCCTTAAATTCACTTGAGGTTTAATGGGACATCAGACACACAAGGTCTACAAGGAGTAAACTTGTCCCTCTGGCACACAACACACCCGACAACTTTCACGTGTGTTTTTCTTTGTTGGAGCCGATGAGGAAACAATGACTTGTGTCTCATACATAAAGGGAAAAATACAGTTCATGTACTTCTAATACTCTCCTAGTACTAACTTCTATAATATGTCTAAAGGTGTATCAAATACTTTAATTAAATAACTTACCATATTGAACCTTTCACTGATGCAAACGCGTTTATTTATTGTAGCCATCATAGTTTACAGTGAAAGTGCATTTATGGATGTTTAAGCGGGATTCTTGTCACAGGTTGTTTTCATTACTATTTTAGTATTTACATACACTGACACTGACACTTCTATTACTGCATTTCTTATCTTTCTGATACATCCTTTAAATACATAATCCATAAACCAAAGAAACTCTGGCTTAAAAGACAGATGAGAAAAACAATGTTTTCTTACTATGCACCTTGGACATGGAATAAATTACAGAACCTAGATTTAAACATATATCTATTGGTCCATTTGAAAGCATCATGAGGAAGTGAAAAAGTGAATGTTTTTCTTGAGAAACCACAAATGCTTAATATTATGGGCATGTGTGTATAGTGTATTATGTTGTACATCTTATATTTTAGGGCAGCATGGTGGTGCGGTGGTTAGCACTGTTGCCTCACAGGACAATGCTCCTAAGTTTAAATCCAGGGCCTTTCTGTGTAGATGTTCTCCCTCCGTTTGCATGGGTTCTCTGCAGATTCTCTCTGGTTACTCCGGGTTCCTCCCACAGTCCAAAGACATGCAGTTAGTGGGGATAGGTTAACTGGTGGTTTTGCCCATAGGTATAAATGTGAGTGTGAATGATGGTTGTCTGTCTCTCTGTGATGGCCCTGCGTCAGCCTGGTGACCTGTCCAGGTTGTTTCACCCTGTGGTAGCTGGGATAGGATCCTGCCGGGGGTGTCAGCAGCTAAATCGCTTTAACATACCATTAAAAATGTCATGTTATGCTAATTATGGGGTTACAGGAATTTTAAAGAGCTTTGCAGGGGCAAAGAAATGAGAAAAAAAACTACTGATCTGGTTCATTTTTGTGTTGATCAATGAGCTGAGTAAATGAGTAAATTAAAATAAATTAAAAGCACACATTTTGGGGGATAAATTTACACTAAGTTTCATGTTTTAAATAAACATGATTAGACATTAAACATGTGTCTTATATGAATGTTTTAAAGCACAGTGAGTGACTGCAAAGGGTTTTAAGAACTCTCAATAAAGTTGTGCTTTGCCTAACAGCACCAAGCCTTTGCTTAGAAATGGTTAAATCGCTGTTACACCTTTTATGAATTTTCCACATCTGCATGAAAACTGAAAATGGTTCAAACAACATAAGGCGAACTCTAATTGAATTTGTTTTACTTCTTTAGACTTTAGCCTTCTTTGATCTCATTTGAAACAGTAAGTTATTATCTGATTTAACAGCATTTTATCAGACTGACATAGAGCTGTGATGTCTTGAAAAAAAAAGTACCTCGATGCCCTAGTGCTTTGAAAAATATTTCCGTTGTTAAAAACTAGTGTGTTCTCACAAAGAAGTATATTCTAAATGGTCAGTTCAGCTTAAAGAACATATGTGGTTTAATTAATAACTTAAAAATTTACAGAAGAATAGCTTAAAAGGACAGCTATGATGGGCATCATTTTTTAAAAGTCTGGTAAAATAAAGTAAATCCGTAAGATTAATTTGAGGATGATAAATTGTTGTTCAAAAGTGAACAACTGCTGTCTGAATTATTGCTCCAAAAGAGAGTTTACATCTCGCTGAATTTTACAGTTTAGAGCAAAGACTTTGTCGCATCAGTCAGATCATTTCTGTCACTGAAGTGATGCTGCCATCTGTTGATAATGAACACCAACTGTCTCAGTAATACATCATACTGTACTTACCGAGTGCTTAAACTGCTGGGGCTCATTTTGTTTGATTTATCGGTGCTTAAAAAAAAAGAACAAACAGTCTTTGTCTCATTGGTCTTTGCCTCTACTTTACTGTGAGGTGACGACTCTGACACTAGATGGCCCTGTTGGTAAATGATCTGTAACCAAACTGCTCTCATCTATTAACTTAACAGTTTACTGCACTGTCCTCCCCGAGATTACTTCTCGCAAATGATACTGAACATACTTTTTTTTTCTGTTGCAAGAACACAAAATGTAAACTAAGTTATAGTAATGTCATTATTGTTCAGTTTGACAACTTAGACGACCTAATGCACATATCTGTTGGAAGAACAGAAAACATGACATTGGTCTTAGTAGCTTTTATACGTTTGGAGATTGCATTTTAAATCATGTCACTTTTTTGTTGTTCTTTTGTTTTCGCTCCCTCTTTTTACAATATATTACAATATATTATTATTATATATCCTGATAATAAGTTTGCAGTATCTCCTGATCATAGACTATTAAACGATTTGTTATTATTTTATTATAAAACTTTGAATATGGCAATAATTACATTTAGTGTCTGTTCTTGGAAAAAAAGTGTAAAAAATAAAATATTTGAAAATATATTTTCACTTACAAATGATTCATTTATCACTAATATTTCCAGTATCAACAATACTGACACTCTAAACAGATTACACTTTCTATTTCAATATAACAAAATGTCTTAAATGTGAAAGGTCTTCATTTCTAAACAACGATAAAGAAGCACCAACTTAACAGTCCTGTTACTGTTGTTTAGGCATTTAACTAATGCTGTTATTCATAGTTCTGTGTTGGCTGTTACAAAAGTCCCCATGTCCATCTAAAAGTAACACTAGCTTATAGTGCAGTGAAGTAAGTAAGATTTTGCTACAGGACAGGAAGTGACTGCAGAGGAGGAACCATAGTTTAAGCAGTAGAGAGACAGATTGGCTATTTTAAGACTGCAAGGACAGATTTAACGGTTCTGTGGGAAGGCAGCGATGTTTGTTTCAGAAGGTGAGTTTTCAGTGAAGGGCGGACATCAGCAGTCAGGGTGGAGAAAACTAAAGTGTGCATAGCACTGAGAATTGTGTCTGCATGTTAATTAGTAAAAATGTATATATACTGATATATGAAACATTACATGCTGCGTGCAGTTTTAATGGCTGTAAGAATTCAATGGAAAAAGAAAGAAACACTGGTGAACACCAACATCACTGCTTTTTAAAATTCCAACCATCAGTAATAAGTTTGCCAACTTATTGCGCTTTCTTTCCCAATATTTATTTCTTATTTTCCTCTTAAAAATCTTCACATGCCTGCTGTAAAAATACCAAATGTAAGGATTTACTAATGATCATTTTAACTTTTGTAATTCTTCTTGTTACGCTTGATTTTTGTTGGTATTGTTTTTGTTTGTTTTACAATTTGTTTATTTTGACAATTTAAAACTCAGCACCCAGTTCCAGTTATAAAAGTCAGAAACTCCTGCTAACATTATGTGAAAACTTGCATGATTAGTATTAATTCTAGTTGTTGTTGCTCCACTCTAGTTGTAAAACAAACTTAATTTTAAAGTAGGATTTATTGCTGATTTTCAACCTAAGATTTGTTATAATAAAAACTAACAAATTAAAATTACTGATTTTGTTATATTGTAGAAACCCATTGAAATTCCTTGATCATTTACAGCAACTGAGTCATACAATTTTGAATTCGTTTGATTTTGTGGAGTCTCCTCTCTTCGAACTACAAATGTTAAATCAATTTGCCAGTTGGAGCCACTTTAAATCTAATCACTTTTATTAATAGAGAACTATAGAAATTTTTTACCTTTTTTTTTCACGCCTGGTTTGTCACATTTTTTCCTCCATAGACTTTATCCTAAATGATTCTCATTTTAATTATGTTGACCCAGACTCTGTGAATCTTCTACACTGACAACAAAACCAGCGCAGGCCGACAGTCTGCCTCTCACACTGTGAGGATGACACCTCCATCTCCTCATAGAGGAACTAGTCCAGGATCCACTTTGATGTCCCTCTGCCTGAAAGGAAAGGTCAAAATAATAAATGTAGACCCAATTGATGGGTTGGCAGGGGGGCATGGGGGTTCAGCACTCATTTTTGGACGAGTGCTCCCTTTAAGAGGTAATGAATTCATACAGTCAGACATAGCCAAAGAAGAAAACAGCATGAGTCCCCTTTCCATGAAAAGGTTTATCTAAATTTGCAGACAAGCATGGCTTCTTCTTCCCACTAATGCATCACTTTCTTATTTCACTCTCATCACATACACATGTATGATTAAATAATTTTTTCCCCCGCTTGACTTTACTGAGAGTTACTGAGAGAATTAAACTAGGTGACCAAGCACCAATCAAAAAACAAAACAAAACAAAAAACCTCAGTAAGCACCTCTAAATGACTCTCCCTCACAGCAATACACATTTGATTCAAGAGTTTATAAAAAAAAAAATAACAACAAAGAATAAAAGAAAAAAGAAACAGAAATAAGCTAAAGCTTAAATATGCCTTTGAAGACTCTGCAGGTCACCTGGGTCATGGGATATGTGTTAGTAGGTCAGAGACAACTGGGGTATGTCTGCAGGTCTTTAACCTTTTGCCCATCATTACTAAGTTATGTTTTCAAGACCTTTACTTCCAATTCTTTTGAAGATCAAAGATGCTATAAAGTTTAGGCCCAGTTACAGGTAAATGTACATTTAACTAAACATATACATCAGTTTAAAAATACTCACATGAAAGTAAAATCACTCAATTAATATGGAGGTAAAATGTACTAAAATGTGCTAAAATATCAACAATAAAACTGGTTTTGCACAACGTTCCCTTTTACAGTTCGTATTTTAAATATGAACTGCTTTATAGGGCTCTTTTTAAATGTGTAATTACATTTAAGTTGGTTTAAGTAGGTTTTTTTCCAGTGTAAAATCTTAATCTGTCTGAATCCCACTAAGTAGCACTTTTTAAGCACTTGGTTTGAAACACACTTATTTAAGTTGTGAGAAGATGTAAAGCGTATTAATGTCGTTATCAGCAATTCTAACTCCTCTAGTGGGCACCTCACATAGAACATGTCAGCTTGTAAAGCACTGATTAGATATGTTTACATTTATTAAAAATGCTGAATAACGAGACTTGAAGTAAAGTGCACCTTAAACGGAAATTATAGGTGTCAAGTAGCTTAAATGTAATCAAGTAAAAAGTGCAAGATCCTTCAAAAGGACCACAAAACTGCACTGAAGTCCAACACTTGTGTTAATGTACGCAAACCTGGAAACCAAGATGAAGTAATGGTCTCTCCGTCTTTCAATTCAGAGACAAACCAGGCGCTTTGGATCACAAACACTCTCATATGAATATGTGGCTCACACACGTACATCAGCTGAGGTCCTCGTGAGCCGCGCTGAGACGCGCATTAAGCTGCCAGTTTCTGCTGGAGGACGGAGCCGCTCCAGGCTGAATTACATGCGCAGTCCTGCCGAGAATCTCACATCACCACGGCAACCTGCGTTCACACCGAGTCCCCTTCAGCATCGGTGAGCTCCGATCCCATCCACAGGCAACCGGAGAGCCCGCAAGACCACCGTAAGTTTTTATTCCTCCTTCTGCTTCAGTGTTTCTGACGGTGCAGCGGTTTATTTGTGTTTATTAGACGGACGTGAATGCGGTTTAACAACAGCCTGATCGGTTGCGGGTTATGTAGCTGGGGGATGATTATTTAATATCGATTAGATATGCGTTGCCCAATTAAGTGATTTAGTGCAGGTAGCTTATATTTGGGGG